TTAAAAATATGATGACATTTTTTCTATTGTAGTTAATTTTATTCCTAGTTAGAAACAAACACTGTTACCAACACAAGTCGAGGAGTCCTCAACATTAATTTAATTTACACTATGACGTTGACTGTTCTCTGATAAGGACGTTGTTGACATTGGGTTTTCATTTTTCAACCAATCAAATTGCGGTAGTGCGCAGTGCTGCCAACTGGAAAGAAAATCCCCCGAAATAGGGGGACATTTTCTGGTTGACAGCACTAATTCCTCGAAAATCAAATTTTGCTGTCATTATTTTCATTTTTGCAATTAGGCTCCGCCCCTCGGTCTGACAACGTATGAAAAATTCATCACAATTGAGCTTGGGATGGGATATGGGTGGGGCCTAATTTTTGGCTTGTTTTTCTCTTAACATACATGGTATTTTTTGAACAACACGATACTCAAAAACATGTTGTTTATTACTTGTAGAGAAATAAGCATTTTGCAGTTAAGTTCCGCCTTCTTAGCTCACGACGATTAGAAAAATCATCAGAATCGAGATAGGGCGGGTGGGCGGGGCTTATATTTTGTCTTGTTTCTTAATATACACCGCCATCTTTTCACAACAAGAAACTTAGAACATGGTTAAAATGGTACTTTTTGTAAGGAAATATGGATTTTGCAATTATAGGGCCGAGGCTAATTGCAAAATCGATATTTTCTTATACAAATTTTAAAATGTTTTAAGTTTCATGTTGTAGTAGGAAGTGATGATTTTTTTTATTCGCTGTTATTCAAGAGGGCGGAGCTTAACTGCAAAATACTTATTTATTTACAAGAAATTAAAAATAGATTTTTGAGTATCGTGCTGTTCAAAGAATACTAGGTATATTAAGAAAAAAAAAGCAAAATATAAATCCCGCCCGCCCACCCCGTCTCAATTGTGATGATTTTTTATTCTTAGAAATATGCCTTCCATGGCAATTTCTTGTAGAGAAATAATAAGGATTTTGCAATTAAATTCCGCTAATTTGGGTCTCGACGATTAAAAAAAAATCATCACAATTGAGATAGCGTGGGTGGGCGGGGCTTCAATTTTGCCTTTTTTTCTTAGTATGCGTAGACTTATTTCGACAACAAAAAACTTAAAACTAAATGGTAAAGTTGTATAGGGAAATATCGATTTTGCAATTACGCTCCGCCCCTCGGTCTAACGACGAATGAAAAATTCTTCACGGTTAAGATCGAGACGACTGGGTGGGACTTCTCTTATAGCTTTCTTTTTTAATTAATAATACATATTTAGTTTTCTTTGTCTAACACGATTACTTAAGAACATATTTCACATGGTAATTTCTCGTAGAAAAATAAGGATTTTACAAGTAAGCTCCACCCCTCGGCTTACGGCGAATAAAAATGAATCAGCAGAATTTTTTTCTTAATATACTATACTATTTCCTTTTATAACAAGAAGCTTAAAACCTGGTTAAAATGGTTTTTGCAAAGAAGTATGAATTTCGAAACTATTGGTCGGAATATAATTGCAAAATCGATATTTCCTTATACAAATTTTCCATTTTAAACATGTTTTAATTTTCATGTTGTGAAAAAGAAGTCTACACATATTAAAACAAAAAGACAAAATATAAGCCCGCCCACCCGCCCTATCTCAATTCTGATGATTTTTTTATTCACCGAGAAGCAAAGGGGCGAAGCTTAACTGCAAAATATTTATTTCTATACAAAAAATTAAAAGCATATTTTTCACTATCGTGTTGTTCAAAGAATACTGTGTATGTATTAAAAAAAGCAAAATATAAACCCACCCCGTCTCAATTGTGATGATTTTTTTTATTCTTAGAAACTTAAAACGCGTTTAAAATGGTAAATTCTTGTAAGAAAATATGGATCTTGCAATTAAGCCCCGCCCCTCTATCTGACAACGAATGAAAAATTCATCACAATTGAGATAGGGTGGGTGGGCGGGGCCTATATTTTGCCTTTTTTTCTTAATATACATAGCCATCTTTTCACAAGAAGAAACTTAGAACATGCTTAAAATTATACTTTTTGCAAGAAAATATGGATTTTGCAATTATGGGGCCGAGGCTAATTGCAAAATCGATATTTTCTTATACAAATTTTAAACATGTTTTAAGTTTCAAGTTGTAGTAAGAAGTCTACACATATTAAAACAAAAATGCATAATGTAGGCCCGCCCACCCACCCACCCTATCTCAATTGTGATGATTTTTTTTTATTCGCCGTGAACCAAGGGGGCGGAGCTTAACTGCAAAATATTTATTTCTTCACAAGAAATTAAAAGCATGTTTTTGAGTATCGTGTTGTTCAAAAAATATTATGTATACATATGTATTAAGAAAAAAAGCAAAATTTAGCCCCGCCCACCCACCCCATCTCAATTGTGATGATTTTTTTATTCGTAGAAACATGTCTTTCATGGTAATTTCTTGTCGAGAAATATTAAGGATTTTGCAAGTAAATTCCGGTACTTTGGCTCTCGACGATTGCAGAAAAAAATAATCACAATTGAGATAGGGTGGGTGGGCGGGGCACATTTTTCGCCTTTTTCCTCAATATACGTAGTCGTCTTTTCAGAACGAGAAACTTAAAACATATTTAAAATGGTAAATTCTTGTAGACAAATATGGATCTTGCAATTAAGCCCCGCCTCTAGATCTGACAACGAATGAAAAATTCATCACAATTGAGAATTGAGTTTGGGACGAGTATGGGTGTGGCCTAATCTTTGGCTTTATTTTTTTACTTAATATACACAGTATTCTTTAAATAACACGATACTCAAAACATGTTTTTAATTTCTCATAGAGAAGTAAGGATTTTGCAGTTAAAGCTCCGTCCCTTTGGCTTACGACAAATAAAAAAATCATCACAATTGAGATAGGGTGGGTGGGCGGGGCTTCTATTTTGCCTTTTTTTCTTAGTATGTGTAGACTTATTTCGACAACAAAAAACTCAGAACTAAATGGCAAATTTGTATAGGGAAATATCGATTTTGCAATTACGCTCCGCCCCTCGGTCTAACGACGAATGAAAAATTCTTCACGGTTAAGATCGAGACGACTGGGTGGGACTTCTCTTATAGCTTTCTTTTTTAATTAATAATACATATTTAGTTTTCCTTGTCTAACACGATTACTTAAGAACATATTTCACATGGTAATTTCTCGTATAAAAATAAGGATTTTACAATTAAGCTGCGCCTCTCAGCTTACGACGAATAAAAAAGGATCATCAGATTTTTTTTCATATACCATATTATTTGTTTTCATAACAAGAAATTTAAAACATGGTTAAAATAGTTTTTGTAAGGAAATATGAAATTTTGAAACTATTGGTTGGAATGTAATTGCAAAATCGACATTTCCTTATACAAATTTTCCATTTTAAATATGTTTAAGTTTCATGTTGTGACAAAGAAGTCTACACATATTAAAACAAAAAGACAAAATATTAGGGGGCGGAGCTTAACTGCAAAATATTTATCTCTTCACAAGAGATTAAAAACATGTTTTTGAGTATCGTGTTGTTCAAAGAATATTATGTATATGTATTAAGAAAAAAAAGCAAAATTTAGCCCCGCCCACCCACCCCATCTCAATTGTGATGTTCTTTTTATTCCTAGAAACATGTCTTTCATGGTAATTTCTTGTATAGAAATAATAAGGATTTTGCAATTAAATTCTACTCCTTTGGCTCTCGACGATTGAAAAAAGAATCACCACAATCGAGATAGGGTGGGTGGGCGGGGCATATTTTTCGCCTTTTTTCTCAATATACGTAGTCGTCTTTTCAGAACGAGAAACTTAAGTTTAAAATGGTAAATTCTTGTAGACAAATATGGATCTTTGGGCGGAGTCTAATTGCAAAATCTATATTTCCTTATACAAATTTTCCATTTTAAACATGTTTCAAGTTTTATGTTGTGAAAAAGAAGTTTACACATATTAAAACAAAAAGGCAAAATATAAGCCCACCCACCCGCCCTGTCTCAATTGTGATGACTTTTTTTATGTCTTCTCGTAGAGAAATAAGGATTTTGCAGTTAAGCTCCGCCGTCTTGACTCACGACGAATAAAAAAATTCATCACAATTGAGACAGGGTGGGTGGGCGGGGCTTATATTTTGCCTTTTTTTCCTTAGTATGTGTAGACTTATTTCGACACAAGAAACTTAAAACATCTCTAAAACGGTAAATTTTTGTTGTAATCAACTTAAATCCTCGACTTTGCTTCTACAACCCCTTTAAATACGGCAAAAGCTCTTCGCAGCTTCTGGACTGTTTCCTTTTTATGTGAAAGAATCTCGAAGGCTCTTGGTGCTATTTGTTTAAGAATCTGAGTGATCTTTTTAGGCATTTAGAAGAATCTCGGGGGTTCCTAGTGTTCTATTTTTTTTTTTTTTTGAGAATTTGTAAGGAAACATTTTTTGTGAGATATTACTTTGTCCCCATATCTCACTTGTCCCGTCTTCCTCTACTTACATAATTGCAGAAAGATTACTGTTATTGCGGCATCAAGCTTGCTTTATTATATTTACACAATTATAGTCTGATTTTTTGAGAATTTTCCCGGTAATAAACGTCATTTTATTTTTTGTTTTAAAGATCAAAGTAATGGTAAATATACAGAATATCGACAATGTATGTTTAAGTATTATATGTAGGTGCATCAACACTCAACGCCCCTGTGGCCTAATGGATAAGGCATCGGCCTCCTAAGCCGGGGACTGTGGGTTCGAGTCCCACCAGGGGTACTAAGTTTTTTTTGTTTTATTTCATAAATTACCCCAAGAAAAGTATTGTTACAATTATGTAAAATGCGACGTTTTTCCATAAACGACAATGTTCAAATTTTAGGCGATTTTTCAAAAAATTCAGGTACAAAAATTAATTCAATGCCATGGAAGCAGTTGATTGGTTAAAATTCTGAAGTTTCATTGGTTGCGCAATTGTCACATGTTGTTTATTTGTGTGGTGTCAAAATTATAACCTCAAAGTTTGTGAAGATTTTAAACATTTATTTTTTGTTAACTGTGTTTATTATTGAGTAATGAGTAAGCGTATTTCCGTCCACTGAAATGGAATTACGTAACTACGTTTTATTTAATTAATGAGTAACAAAAATAACATGTCATGACGTGTTATTATTATCTGATAACACTTGTTGTTTATAAATAGTGGTGAATCATGAAACACCTATGGAGATTCTTTGCAGGCGTAGACACGACTCAGACTACTCAAACTATGGTAAAATGTTCGATGTTTTGAATTTTTTCATGATTAAAACAATTTTAGAGCATTTACTCAACTCCTGTGGTAGTTTACGCTGACGGATCCTTCAGGAATAAGAAGTGTGGAATTGGGGTGTACTTTCCCGGGGATAAATCCTTCAGTTCCAGAGAAGTATCCAAAGTCATAGACCACCATAAACTGACCAACCAAGTCGCCGAACTTGCAGCTTGCATTAACGCTATTGAAATAGCCCAAGAAGTTGGTATTCAACACCTAGAAGTCCGCACGGATTCCCAATACGTCGTAAACAGCATGAGCAAGTGGATCCACCAGTGGAAACCCAAGAACTGGAAAAAAATCGGAAAAAACTGTGATATTGAAAACAAGGATCTCATAATGAAACTAGACAATCTCTGCGCATCCACCAAAGTTGATTGGGTAACAATAATAACTAAACTGAAACCCGCTCCACACTAAAACTATTTCCAGGTGCACATCCCCCGCAACGCCAACAAAAAAGCAAACGACTTAGCCCAAAAGGCCACCAAGCATTTATAACTCTGTAATTTACACAATAAATTTTCTTAAAAAACCGGCAAAGTGTTTGAGGACTTGACTGGCCCGAAGTACTTGTGCGTGAGCGCCTCGTGCGCCGTACACCGCTCCAGGTGGTCATAACACAACAGCGCGTCCAAAAAGTCAAAGGCGTTGTGGTTCACCAGGTGCTCGTTCTCGGTGTTGACAAACCTCTGCCACGGCTTCTTCGAATGAATCCCCAGCGTCTCCTGCAAGCTATTCTCCAAAGTAATGTTGTATTTGCTCAAGTAGGTGTAGAATTTCGTGGTCCCCAGCACCTTGACGATGCAGTACAGCTGGTTCCTGTTGTCAAACCCCTGAAAGAAGGGCTCTTTGCGGAAAATCATGGCGGCGAAGACGCACCCCAGGGACCACAAGTCGAGCGAGTAGTCGTAGTAGCCGTACTCGACGAGGAGCTCCGGGCCCTTGTAGTGGCGCGACGCCACCCGGACGTTGTAGCGCTCCCCGGGCCGGTAGAACTCCGCTAAACCGAAATCAATCAGTCTTATTTTGCGGTTTTTCCGGTCGATGATGATGTTGTGGGGCTTGACGTCCCGGTGCATGATCCCTTTACTGTGACAGTAATCCAGGGCTTTCAGGATTTCGTAGATGTAGTAGCGGATGTCGGCGTCGTTCAGCTTCAAGTAGACTTCTTTGAAGTCTTCATTGTTGGAAGTGGCTTCGAAAATGAGCGCGTGGAGCCCGGTGGTGGGCACGGTCACTGTAGCGAACAAGTTGATGATGTTCGGGCCGTTTTTCAGGTGTTCCAGGATTTTTATCTCTCGTTTGATTTTGGGTTTCTTTATTGGCTTCAGCATTTTTACTACCACGGTTTCGTTCTTTGCATCGTGGACACCCTCGAAGACGAGGCTGTATTTGCCCTGGCCGATCTTTCGGACGAGGCTGTAGTTGTTAATGTCGTCCGTCGGGGGGTTGTAGGAGTCGTATTCGAAGTATGAAGACGGTTTGCTGGTGAATACGTCCGAATAAATTCTCGAGGTTGTGACTACAACGGTACGACTAGAATGTGTTATTGGGGTTATTTGGGGCTGAAGGGGCGCAACGACTTACGGAGTGTCCTCCAAATCCATTTTCTGGACGAATTTCGTGCAAATTTTCTTTGACATTTGTAATTTGAATGGGAAAAGAGCGCCAACGGAGAGGCAACTGAACAAAGCGAACTTCCCTAGTCACACCGAGACTGACGACGAATATTATTAGAAAAGCGGCGTACAAGCGTTGAATTGTGTCGCAGTTAATCTGTATCCAACAATAATTAGATCTATATTTTTTTAAATATTCTTAATACCAGTTTGAATTAAACCAGTCAATCTCATAGAATGCTTGTATGTTGTTCCCAATGAACGCCTCTACTGGTGTGGTACGGAACTAAAATCGGCGCCAAATTTGAAAGGGAATTTTGCTAATAGATTTTTTTTTATATTTAAAGGGAAAACATTCTTTGTGCATTTTTATATGTTGGTTTCAAAATGCCAAAATAGGCTTTGAAACCAACATATAAAAAGACACAAACAGTACAATAAAAAATGTTGAATATTTTACAAACAATATATTTAACCGTAACATTGAATTATTAATGAAAATACTACTACAAATAACATTAAAAATACCATAATATGACAAAATTCTAAAAGTACCAAAAAGTCAAAGTGGTTGTTTTGACATATGTTTGAATAGAAATCCGCTGATGTAGCCTATAACATTCTGGTCATAAAGTTTATCCTTCGATCAGTGGCGTAACAATAAATCTACGGGCCTGTGTTCCACAACACTGTGGGGCCCCTAATGAACAGCGAAATAAAAATTATTTAAAAATACGAGTATAATGAGTAAAGTATGAGTATATTGCAACTAGGGCTTACGTTTTATTAAAATCATTCTACCTGAAACACTGAATTAAAAAACAAAATACCTATAATAACTACCTAAATACATATAATTAAAATGTATATTAGAAATAAAAATGCCCGTTTTTTTATCACAAAATTGTTTTTTTCTTGCTTTCCAATGGGCACAAGTTGATACAAGATTTGACACATCTAAGCTTCTGGCAATATGATTTTCAAGTGAGATAATAAGCCAGTGAAGATAATCTGCATTGGCCCATTGTGTTACTTAAAAAAAATTTAGTCATTTTTAGTTTCGAAAAAGATCTTTCCGTTGAAGTCAGCGAACGATGTACCTATTGTAAGAAAAGTGAAACATGTTGTGATAATTTCACTGAAACTAGTGCAGGTACTAGGTACTCATTCTGTAATAATTTGGTGGTCCAGTGTTTTTTCTACTTAAAAATTAGTTGTAACATACATCAGATATAATTTATTATTCCAAAAAAGCACCACAGACACAATATTAAAATAGTTTTGAAAATACGAAAGTTTTCATAAAACACAATTGAAACTGATTTTTTTTTTACGTCTTACAGCATAAAGTTTCACTGAAGATCTGAAGACAAAATTTAAGTATTTTGTTGTCCTGAATCATAAATTAGTCATACTTTTGTAAGCTAAAGATTGGTAATTTACTTAATGGGGTAATTCAGGTCACACGAATTACAGTTCGTCGTCTGAGAACTTGTTTGATCTACAGACCAGAGCGCACTCAAGCCAATGTCGACTCTAAGCGTTCGGAAACGATTTGATTTATAAGCCATGGTCCGTGATCTGATATACATCCTAGCCGGCCTAGACCATAATTTCTTGCTGTTTCAACTTTCGAATTCTCAGTTTTTCGAAATTTTAGTTTTGGGGACTTTTCAGTTTACTCCTATTTATTATTTAATTTTTAATTTCTCAATTTTCAAGTTCTCGATTTTCAGTTTTTCTCTTCAATTTTACGATTTTTAAACATTTCGATTTTTCAATTTTAGACTTTTATAAACTCTTTATTTGTCGATTTTTCAATTAATTGATTTTTCAGGTTTTTTGGTTTTTCAATTTTTCTATTTTTTCAGGTTTCGATTTTTCAACTTCACTTTTTTGATTTTTCGATTTCTCAATTTTTCAATTTTTTAATTTCTCAGTTTTTCGACATTTCAGTTTTAGGATTTTTCAGTTCACTTATTATTCAATTTTTCGATCTTACGATTACGCAGATTTTTGATTTTTCAATTTTTCGATTCTTTAGATTCTCAGTTTTTGGATATTTCAGTTTTGGAATTTTTCAGTTTTTTGATTCGTCAGTTTTTCTTTCATTTTTCAGTTTTTCGATATTTCAGTTTTGGGATTTTTCAATATTTCTGTTCTTCGACTTTCCATTTTTGACTTCTGGATTTTTCGATGTGTTGACTTTTTACTTTTAAATTTTAGATTTCTCAATTTTTTTGAATTTTAATTTTTCAATTTTTAAAATTTTAGATTTTTCTATTTCTCGATTTTTCATTTTAGCTCTTCCATATTTCAATTTTTCAAATGTTTCGATTTCTTAATCTTTCGATTTTTCGACTTTCCGGTTTTAGATTTTCTGTTTTTCAATTGTCGTTTGTTCAAATTTTCGATTTTTCAATTTTTCAAATTTGACATTTATAAACTGTTAATTTTTCGATTTTTCAATTAATCGATGTTTTGATGTTCCCATTTCTTGACTTTCGAGGGTTTCGATATTCCTGTTCAATTCTTTAATTTTTCTATTTTTCAAGTTTTTGATTTTTCATTTTTTAGTTTTATTAAGGTTTCGATTTTTCGACTTCACTTTATGGATTTTTCGATTGCTCAATTTTTTGACTTTTTAGGTTCTCAGTTTTTGGATGTTTCAGTTTTCGGATTTTTCAGGTTTTCCCATTTTTCAGTTTTTCGATATCTCAGTTTTGGGATTTTTCAATATTTTGATTCTTCGACTTTTCGATTTTTGACTCCTGGATTTTATGATGTGTCGATTTTTTTACTTTTTCGATTTTTCAATTTTTCGATTTTTAAATTTTAGATTTTTTAATTTTTAAAGTTTTAGATTTTTCGATTTCTCGAATTTTCATTTCAGTTCTGCGATATTTCAATTTTTCAAGTTTTCGAATTTTTCAAATGTTTTAATCTTTTGATTTTTCGACTACCCGGTTTTAGATTTTCTGTTTTTCAATTGTAATTTTGTCAAATTTTCGATTTTTTAATTTTTCAAATTTGACTTTTATAAACCCTCATTTTTTCAATTTTTCAATTAATGGATGTTTTGATTTTCCCATTTCTTGATATTCGATTGTTTCGATTTTCCTGTTCTTCAATTCTTTAATTTTTCGATTTTTCAGGTTTTTGATCTTTCAATTTTTCGATTTTTTAAGGTTTCGACTTCACTTTATGGATTTTTCGATTGCTCAATTTTTTGACTTTTTAGGTTCTCAGTTTTTGGATATTTTAGTTTTCGGATTTTTCAGGTTTTCTCATTTTTCAGTTTTTCTTTCATTTTTCAGTTTGTCGATATCGCAGTTTTGGTATTTTTCAATATTTTGATTCTTCCACTTTTCAATTTTTGACTCCTGGATTTTTCGATGTGTCGACTTTTTTACTTTTTCGATTTTTCAATTTTTCGATTTTTAAATTTTAGATTTTTTAATTTTTAAAATTTTAGATTTTTCGATTTCTCGATTTTTCATTTCAGTTCTTCGATATTTCAATTTTTCAACTTTTCGAATTTTTCAAATGTTTCGATTTCTTAATCTTTTGATTTTTCGAATTCGCGGTTTTAGATTTTCCGTTTTTCACATGTCATTTTGTCAAATTTTCGATTTTTTAATTTTTCAAATTTGACTTTTATAAACTCCCAATTTTTAGATTTTTCAATTAATCGATGTTTTGATTTTCCCATTTCTTGACCTTCAAGTGTTTCGATTTTTCTGTTCTTCAATTCTTTAATTTTTTAATTTTTCAGATTTTTGATCTCTCAATTTTTCGATTTTTTAAGGTTTCTATTTTTCGACTTAATTTTTTTGATTTTTCGATTTTTCAGTTTTTAGATATTTCAGTTTTAGGATTTTGCAATATTTCAATTCTTCGGTTTTTCTATTTTTGACTTGTGGATTTTTCGATGTGTTTTACTTTTTCGATTTTTCAATTTTTGGAGTTTCAAATTTTAGATTGTTCAATCTTTTGATATTTTAGTTTTTCAATATTTCTTAGTCTTTCGATTTTTCGACTTCCTGGTTTTAGATGTTCTGTTTTTCAATTTTTCGATTTGTTAATTTTTCATTCCCGATTTATCGAGATTTGATTGTTCAGGTTTGCGATTTATCAGTTTTTCAATTTTTTATTTTGGTCTATTTCGGTTTCTCATTTTTTCCGTTTTCCATTTTTTCGTTTTTTTTTATTTTTCCGCTTTTCCAATTTTTCAACTTTTAACTTTTTGTTTGTCGATTTCTCTATTTTTCAATTTTTCGACTTCATCACTTTTCGATTTCTCGTTCTTTTGATCATTCAATCTCTCAATTTTTCAATTTTTCGAATTTTAAGTTTTTTGATTTCTCGATTTATCGAGATTTGGATTTTCCGATATTTTGATTGTCAATTTATAAATCGTTCAATTTTTAACTTTTCGATTTTTCGATTTTGGCCTATTTCGGTTTCTCAATTCTTCGACTTTTCGACTCCATGGTTTCTTGATCTTTTGATTTTTCGATTTCTTGGTTTTTCGATTTTCCAGTTTTTCGATGTTTCGATCTTTCAGTTATCCGACTTTTTAAATTTGGGAGTTTCGATTTCTCAATTTTTCGTTATTCGATTTTTAAATTTTAGATTTTTGAATTTTACATTGTTTCGATTTTCTGATGTTTCATTTTTCGATTTTCAGTTCTTCGATATTTCGATTTTTCAATGTTTCGGTTTTACGATTTTTTAAGGTTTGGATTTTTCGATTATTAGATTTCTCGATATTTCAAATTTTCGATTATTTTAATTTTTCATTTTTTTTCTCACTGTCAATATCATACAGTGTATTGAAAACAACTACAAAAATTGTCACTAAAAACATTTAAAAATTCATACAAAATAGAACACAGTGTTTCCAAAACATTTTCCCGAAAAAAATCCATTGTATTTTATTGTAAATTATATACAGTTAAAACAAATAAAATTGCTTCATCTCCATATGATGATAAAAGATATTTAATAGATGTAATAAATACGTTACCATATGGACATTATAAAATTAGAGTGAGAGCCTCTTTCAGTTT